TAGACAATTCGATAATATACGAAGCCTACTCAAGACCCTATGATACCTAAAAAATAATAATAATACAAAAAAAGATGAAAATTGCTCCAACAGCTTCGATAAAAAAGGAAGATAGTCAATTGTATATCACAATAACTGTTTTTAGCACTATATTTTATGCCCACACATAATCTCATATTTTCAGATCCTTTCTGAATCCCCTCCATTTGTCAGTTGTACGTCCACTCATACCTAGTTTACACTTACTTTCTTTAATCTATTAAAATGCTCTTGCTTAACCTTAATAAAAGAAAATTAGACTGAGTAATAATACCTTAAACATTCCTTCATGAATATTGGCTACTCTGCCTCTCGTGTTTTCTTTTACTTGCTCCCTCATTCAGCCCCTTGATATATGGAACGGGTGACTTCATCCTGCACCATTCTTAAAGCCTTGGATATTCCAAAGGGACATAAGGTTGCGATTTCTAGAAGCTAATATCTTCAATGGACCTATCCTTGACCATCAGTTGCACATTCGCAACGTGACTTTCATGAAGCGCGCCAACGGATATAGTGACTAAAACCACCTACATTCATATCTTTTAAATTATCAACCCAGCTTAGTAATTTACTACAGTGGGTATTGTATCATTTGTAAAAATTTGATCTTGCCTGTAAACTGGCATGCCTCATACAACAAACTGTTATTTGAGAATAAATTATTATTATTTACTTCATACAATACAGACATACTAACCAATATATTTTATTACAACATCAGAAATATCATCAACAAAATCGCAATTTCAGAATACTGGAGACCTATGTTCTCTAAAGATTTGTATATACCGGTCGGTACAGGAAGACGTCTTTAAAGACATTGTACTCGATTCCACAACTTAAATGACTTCCGCTCCTTAGTAACGATGACAAGAATATTGGTCCGAATAGAGGCGATACGTACACACAAAACAGTTGCACAGGAAAAACATGCTGTCGAACTTAATAGTAACTCCTCTGCACTCAACATACTCGTTCAAAAAAACTTAGACGTTCTAATCGAGAGGGAACATATTTACTAAAGACAAACAGGTATACGAAGATCCTAAACTTGTTACGGAACTACTTAGTGAACAATTTTGTTTCTCATTAACTAACAAAAAACCACTAAATGATTCAGAACCAATCCCAGTACCTCCCTGTGAAATTACTAATGTAGACTTCAATGTACAAAATTAATACATTGAAATACCCCGATACGGATGGAACAGATAGTATTCCGGGAAGCACGCTTAAATGTGGAGGTGGTGACAAGTGTGTTTTACTTCTCAAACTACTTGTGACATCACTCTCTTCAGCGTATTATCTTGCCAGGAATAATAAACATATTATTCCCAAAATTAAAACAGGTCCTGAAGCAAATATTGAAAATTACTGGCCCATAAAAAAACTTCAAAGATGTCTAGGGTAATGAAAAGAGTAGTTAAGGCGGCGGTGGTATGTCAACCCGTTCAAATCAGAAGTCAGAATTAAAGGAGCTCTAAAATATATTTGGTAGGCTATCGATATGTCGAGAAACGTTTGATCTATTCTGGTTAACAGTTGCAAGGGATGAGTAGCAGGATTTACCCACGCGTCGTCTAGTGAGAATGTCTGACCGAGTACCTTGAGTTGAGTGAGTCCAGTAAAACTAATGAGGTCAGTATCAAATGTCAAAACTATTTGTTTTGGGGCTTTATTTACGCTACAACTGCTTCCAGATGGCTTACATTATTAAATATAGGTGTTTATACTAATCCTTTTAGTGGTTCACGACCGTGAAATAAATGTACCTGAAATGGATAAAAGCCAGTGGTATAAAATGTTAGGATGTACTAAAGATAACCTTGGTGTGGATAACTGCGACGGTTTAAATGACTATCTACTGCCCTTAAATTTCTTCTCACCTCAACAGCATGGTTTCAGGAAGGGTTACTCTTGTATAACCAACCTGCTGACTGCGGTGGACAGATGGACAAGCATCCTCGATTGCAAGGGAAAGGTTGATGTCATTTACCTTGATTTCTCAAAAGCTTTTGATAAGGTTAACCACTTGTGTCTTATCAACAAGCTCAATCGACTAGGTATCAAACCACCTCTAATCGATTGGCTTACTTCATACCTAAAAAATCGACACTTTAAGGTTAGGGTTGATTTCACTTTATCTCAGGCTATGGAATGTCCTAGTGGGGTCCCCCAGGGCTCAGTACTAGGGCTTCTTCTCTTCTTGATCTACATAAATGATCTTCCTCAACAGGTAACGTCAGACTTATTACTTTTTGCCGACGACGTGAAACTTTGGAGAGAGATACGCAACCAAGACGATATACAGGCACTTCAGGAGGATCTGACTCGACTTCAAAGTTGGGCAGACGATAACGGACTTACCTTTAACACTTCAAAGTGTAAAGTAGTCCATCTGCGACATGTCGCAAACTACAGTTACAACTTAGGAAACTCCTCTCTAGTAGTATCCCAAGTCGAAAAAGATTTAGGAGTCCTGGTGCCCCATGAATTAAAGTCTTACGCTAACTGTGACAAAAATGCCTTCCGAGCAAACCTTGCACTGGTAACGTTGACCAGTTTGACGGAAGAACTTTCCACACAATCTTCAATAGTTTCATCCGTCCCCATTTAGAGTACGGAAATATAGTACTCCCCCCCTCACTCCAAAAGGACAAGGTCACTTTGGAGCGTATCCAACGGCGAGCCACGAAATCAGTTCGAGGACTCAAATCTAAGCCTTACGAAGAACGCCTCAAATCACTTAACCTTTACGGATTAGAGTATAGGCGTCTTAGAGGTGATTTATTAATGGCTTATAGTATTCTCAACACTTCTGGACATCCTCTTAAACACCTACTTAAGCTTAGTTTGAACACTAACCTAAGGGGTAACAACCCGAAAGTGGAAACACAACATAGCAAGACGGAATGTAGACACAACTTCTACTCCTTAAGAGTTGTCAAAAGCTGGAATTCTCTGCCGGCCGAGCTAGTCCAAGCGACTTCTCAGGAGTCCTTCAAGAGGCAACTTGACCTATTCTTAAGGACGAAGGACAGCATCACACTATTTTTTTTTTACCAATTTCTTTTCCGCTTTTATTGTTAACATACCTAGGTTCCTGCCTGGAGGATTTGATGATCCCCTGCTACTAGACACGGAAGCCTGTTAAGCGAAAGCTTCTTCTATTCTGTCCACAACCATTTGAACCATTTGAACTGTGGAGCGCGCATTATAAGCTGAGGTAAATCCATAGTTAACTAGTAGTTGGGATTGAAGTCCAGAAGAAAAGTAATCTACTGAACGTTAGGCTCAGAAAAGATTCTTTTGACAAAAAATGGTTCTTTTGTCACATAGGGATACATCGAAAGTTCGAGAAATACAAACCACGTTGGGTGCCGAACCTTCCGTTCGTATAGCGTGCTTGCTTAATGTCGAGTTACGAACCGGAGTTGAGTCTCATTAGCCGTAAGAGCCGTGATAGGTTTGATGCGAAATGCAATGCGCAGTTCAGATACTTGTTAAATACGACTGGCCTAGAGATGATATAATGAAACCTATGCGTAAGCAACGTTAATGTGAAAGTTGATGTGGAATATGAGGATTTAAAAACCTCACAAAAAGACATATCTGTTGGGAGCATGGCGGGGACGATATAGGCTTATCATGAGAGGTTGTTGTTAGCATAGTGAGATTTGTGAAAATTCAAAAAAAGGTAATCCGAATAAGTGTCAGATAAATGTTGGATATGATATGACTTGTCTAAAAGCAATACACACTGATAGGTGCAAACAGATGACATAAGGCTATATATATATATATATATATATATATATAATGCAAATACTTTGTGACTTCTCATAGCAAATATGCGTCCCTTCCCCGTATTGCCTCCTTCACATCTGGTGTTTCTGTCAGGATCAATGTGAAAGTGCCGAGACCGTTTGAGAATGGGAACCTCGAGAGCTACCTTCAGTAATAAGGATGGAGGGTCTATCGACCTATATTAATCCTTGCAGTTTGTAATGCTGTGGAGGTCCAATCTTGTTTTGAATAGATCAACAGAAGTTGCTGATATTACGTGTCCCGTTAGGGAATTCCAGTAATTCACTACTCGATGCGAAAAACGAAACTCCAGACGTTAAAGATTTGATTTCTGCTTTTGAACTTTCTTCGAACGTTCTCTTATTATCAGTCCTAGACGGAAGGAAAAGATAAGACATGTTAATACCAAGGTCGCCTCAGGCGGTTTGAGGTGACAACGGCTTGTCGGTGTGAGAGACCTCACTAGGTATCCATGTAGAACTTTGCGTGTCATTCTACGTGGTAATCGTTTGAAATCAGTCTTCGTTGAGCCATATCCTGTTTCATTACTTAGTGTATTTTTCATTTACTCATCTAATATATATATACTAGCCACATTTATGTGATAAAAGCAGTGCTACATTTTTTCGGAAAAACTGGATCGTCCTGTGTACTTTATTTCGTTTGGAGAGATTTATAACTGTTGACTTGTGTGAAATACACACATGATTTACCAATTAATCTATGACGTGAGAAGAGTTAACGCTTTTCACACTTAAAATATCCTCAAGCTAAGCCTCCGTATTGTTTAAAAGTATTGTTTTAGAGGTATATATGTCTTCGTCGTATTTTACTTATCATAAACGACTGAATTGATTTTATAGGCAGTCTAATTCCGCATCTTGGTGTGAGTTCTAGGCATTTAATTCTCCAAACCCCTGAAAATCTATATCTTCACTCTTATAAATAAAAGCATTAAAATATGTTTACCTTCTGTTATTTTGCCAAGATTGAGGCAAATACACTTCCAAATTTTTTTCGCAAAATAATTTTGCTGTTATCTCTACTTTCCAGTTTTGTGTACCTCATCTTGACTTTTGCGATTTTTATTGTAAGGTAATTTGCTCATTTTTATTGCTAGTTTGTCATCCTGTTTTCGATTTTGTTAATACATGTTCCTTTCAAAGTTGGCCCATAAAGGAATGGAGCTTACCAAAATTGTTAAATTGTTGGATGCATATTGCTTACCACACTTGGCCGAAAAGTGGGATAATGTCGGTCTCCTAATAGAACCTTCTATTCCACACCATGTGGACAGGATTTTTATCACAAATGATTTAACAGAACAAGTACTCGATGAGGCGATTTCTCAAAAATGTGGTCTGATCGTTTCATACCATCCACCAATTTTCTCTCCTCTTAAAAAGCTTACGCAACAGCATTGGAAAGAGCGTATAGTTGTACGTTGTATAGAAAACAAAATCGGTGTATTTTCACCACACACCGGGCTTGATGCAAAACTTGGAGGTATCAACGACTGGCTTTTAGAACCATTGGGTAAATTCAGACTAACTTAATATTGTTCTATAGCTGTCAATCGGAGAGAGAGTTTATCTCGATCACCAATTACTCAAAATTTATCCAGGTTGACCGTTGTTATGAACGAAAATTTCGGAGACTTCGTCATATCCACAGGAGTAGGAGTGTGTACAACTAATATTAAGAGGTAAGTCATTTTTTCATCACATTATCATGATCAGTAATGCTGGAATAACAGCCATTGTTACTTGTACCGAGTCCGATTTAAAACGTGTTGTAGATGTGACGGAGGAGCTTAAAATTTCAGTTGTTAGCATCGAAAATATTCAAAAGGTATATACACTATCAAAAAAATATGTTGTAGACAAGTGAAGAAGGATGTGGCAGACTGGTCACTCTACAGTTCCCAGTTCATCTAAAAGCAATTATCGCTGCCTACAAAAAGTTTCTAAACATAGGGCATTTAACTGTAGCCCCAGGACTAGGTAAAACCCTCGGTAAGATAAGTGTTTTATCTAAATTTCTCCTAATTTCATTTTTGTAAACGTTTATATAAAGTAATTGTCGAGGGCACTTCTGGTTATCCAACAACTGATTTGCTATGAAGAAACCGGAATCGAAAAAATTAGAGTTTTCAGGTTTGATAGAAAGCAGGCTACTCTTTTTCGGTCTGTAATAAGTGTGTACATAAAGGTACCATACGAGTCGAACTTAAATATACCTATCGTCTTTAATTCCATTGATTAAAGGACCATGTCGCAATGCTTATCGTTGGATTTTATGCAGATTGTTGTAATATTTGTTTTTACAAGCCACGTGTTATATATCGAACAAATGGGAACTAACATTTTACTACTGACCTTTCATGCTTCAACAGATCTCACGGGATGAAATAATTCATTATTGACCTCACTAGCTAGTTCGCTGAGTTGTCTCTGTTTAATAGGTCCACAATATGATTTAAGCTCAGAGTTCAGTTTATTAACTTGTGTCGCTTGTGGTGCTGGTGGTGGTGAGAATAGAGTTTTCAGTAAATATCATCATTTTCATTATATTTGTGTGTGGGCTGTGATACTGCCCGGGTGCCCAGACCGAAGTAGGTGGTTTTCTTAGGGGGTCACATCTCGAGCCTTTGACCTAAAGGTCTAACTCACAAGGCAGTGGAGCATCGTGAGGAGATGCAGTACCATGGTAGCCGGTGACCACTGGTTACGCACGTAATCAGTTGGCAATCAATGTCCGTAGGTATGGTATGTGCTTTGCACCTTCGAAGTGCAAAGTACTTCTAAAAGACTGGCAGGATCCTAATCCTGTACTCACTCTGGATGGCGAGCAGGTAGAAGTAGTCGAGAAGTTCGTGTATCTAGGTAGCTGCATAAGTGGTGGTGGTGGCGTGAGTGATGAGACCAATGCAAGCATAGTGAAAGCCAGAGCGGCTTATTCCAATCTGGGCCATCTTTGGCGCCTTCGTGATGTTAGTCTGGCTGTAGAAGGTCGGATCTACAACGCGTCGGTGAGAGCAGTTCTGCTCTATGTTTGTGAAACCTGGTCTCTTCGAGTTGAGGATGTTAGACGACTCTCTGTGTTCGATCATCGTTGTCTCCGAAGGATTGCTGACATCCAGTGGCAACACCATGTTAGTAATGCAGAGGTTCGGCATCGTGTGTTCGGGCGCAGAGACGATAATCCAATTGGTGTCACCATCTTGAAACATCGACTTCGGTGGCTTGGACATGTTCTACGAATGTCGTCCCAGAGAATTCCACGTTGTACATTATTTGCCGACACTGGGACTAGTTGGAAAAATCGGAGAGGTGGTCAGTGTATAATATGGTGTCGTGGTATGAAAGAAAGCTGCAAAGGGCTGGCCTGTGTTGGTCCTTCACGACTCCCTGGCTGGGCTCCGAGAGATGGTGCGACACAGTGGCTAGAGGCGTTATCAGATATGGCTCGGAATAGAAGCCAGTGGCGATCCTGCCTTAACCTTCTTTTACCTTTTTCATAAAAAAATGGTTGTCTCTTCCTTAACTGAAAAATTTGGTCTGATTGTGCCTTTCCGTTCCCCCCATTATTACTATTACTTTTATTATTATTATTATTATTATTATTATTATTATTATTATTATTATTATTATTATTATTATTATTATTATTACACTGCCTTACACTAATCTGTGGTCGTTATTGTTCTGTTTTTTCTATTCAAATTCTCATTGTTTTGTGTGGCGCATATATATGTGGTGCCCTCTTGTACCAATATTTATGTGTTCAAATAAATAAATAATCTGGTGCTGCCTACTTAATATGATTCGATATAACAATGCATGATATAATGCTGTATCAAAGAATCAACTAATAGAAAATTTGAGTAACAATAGTAATATAAGATGATTACTATGTTTTTATATCGTATATATTATTAACAGCTGCATGAAGAATTTTAAGATAATTTATTGACAGATGCATATGAGGCTCAGATTTACTCTTGACTAGAGCATCAACAAACATAAGTATACCCATGATCTTTTCTTGATATTTGTCTTGATGTCCATCATGTAACCCATCTAGCTGACTCAATATATTAAAGACCGATAGTATATCATTTGTGCTCATTAAATTATTTGGGCTGAACTATTTCTGTAGTTCATTCTATCTTCGTTGGTTTTGAGAATTAATTTCCATCTTGTTGATATGATTCAGTACTTGTGTCATTACCGAATAAGACTGGCTATTATCACACGTCGATATCCTTTGTTCAGGCACAATTTTACCAATTTTACAATACAAACATGAAAGCCTACTGTTAATATCAAAATTCTATCGTAGAAAAATGCGTACTGTTCACCTATGAGTAAATAAAACTAATTTCTCTTTTATCATAGTATTTAGCCAGTCAGCTACAACGTAAGACCAGGTACATATATGCATTGTTCCGAGTTGCCATACCTCATTAGCACGACAAGATGAACACCGAATTCATAGAAGTAGTTAATTCAATGGTGGTAATATATAAAAGATTGTGTATCAGGATATAGTACAGGACGAAAGAATTAGTTGGTAGAAAAAAAGATATAAAGCAATTATTAATCCATCACGCCATTGTGATGAATTTTGAGTCAGTCAGTAACAACGTAGAACTTCGAACGTACGTACATCAGTTCGAGTTGCCACACCACATTAGCACAGAGATGCAGTGGTCGATTCAAATCCCGTAGTGGTAGAGGTAATAAGAGTATAAGCAGTAATCGGGAAGATTAGTGTTTGAAGATGTTACTTAAAGAGTATAATACAGTGAAATAAATTTGAGAGGAGAAAAAAGAGAGACAAGGAGGAATAAGGAGATCAAAATTTGGGAGAACACAAAGAGTGGATGCACCTGCACCATTGCAAACGATTTTGAGCCATGTCATTCAGGGTCTCTAACCATCGCTTGCTATCATCTCGCGGTCCGCAACCAGGTAGTCTACACCTACCAACATGACTCAGTCCACTTGTCAGTGACTTCATGGACTTGTGCCATGTTTTAATCTGGCCGCCCCTAGCTTTCTTCCAACCTACTCCTATACCATTGAACATCGCACGTCGAGGCAGTCAGTGGTTGTGCATACGTAACACGTGTCCAAGCCATCTCAACTGATGAAGTTTCACTACGTCATCAATTGATTTGCCATCTTTACCTGGTACCCGTTTCCTAACAACTGCATTACTTACTCGATGGTCCCACGATATACGAGCAATATTTCGAAGACACCTATGATCAAATACTAGTAACCTACGGATATCCTCTACTCTTACCGGCCATGTTTCACTGCCATAAAGTAGGACGGAACGAACTGCTGCGCAGTAAACACGTCCTTTTGTTGACAGACGGATATCTCGCCTACGCCATAAATGACGCAAGTTGGTAAAAGCTAGTCGAGCCTTCTGTATTCGTGCTGAGATTTCGTCACACACTAAACCACAAGGGCTGATGAGACTTCCAAGATAAGTGAAGCGATCGACACGCTCAATTACTTCACTCCCTATCATTAGTTCGGGTGTCGATGAAACCCAATCTTGAAGCAACATTTTGCATTTCGAGTGGGAGAATCGCATCCCGAACATGCTTGCATTATTGCTTAGAGTGGTCAGAAGACTCTGCATTTTGTCAGCGTCTTCACCAAATAAAACTATGTCATCTGCATATTCCAAGTCAACAAGTGAACCTCCCGGTAGAAGTTCAACCCCTGGAAATTTAGATGAGGAGAGTGTTATCTCTAAAAGTACGTCGACCACAAAGTTGAACAAGATGGGGAGAGTGGACAGCCCTGACGAACACCACTTGAGGTAATCAATTCTGATAACAGTTCGCCATAAGCTCTCACTCGACCAGTTGTGTTCGAGTAGAGAGCCTTTATAAGGTTAATGTACTTCTTTGGTACTCTTTTCAGTGACAAACACTGCCATAGAACCTTACGATCAACAGAGTCGAATGCCGCCTTGAGGTCGAGAAATACTACGATTGTGGGGCGTCTGAACGTGTGTCTGTGTTCTAGAACCTGACGTAGTGTGAATATCTGATCTATACAACCACGTCTAGGTCGAAAACCAGCCTGATTTTCTCTAGTCTGCTCTTCACGAGCTTTCGTTAGGCGTCGAAGTATTATTGAAGCTAATATTTTAGACACTATATTAGTCAAACTGATTCCTCTGTGATTGTCACAAGAGGACTTTTGCTCTTTCTTATAGACTGGCACAATCAGTGATTGAGACCAGTCAGATGGGATTACGTCTAGTTCCCAGAGTCTCCAATCGTTGGTTACGTTAGTCACACGGACCCCAACCAGGTATTCTGCATCTATCAACATGGCTAAGACCAGAAGTTAGTGACTTCAAGCACTGATGCCGCGTTTTGGTTTGGCCGCCCCTAACTTTCTTTCAACCATCCCCAACACTAATCAGCATTGCGCTTCGTGGTAATCGGTGTTCAGGCATACGTAACATGTGGCCCAACCATCTCAGTCGATGAGGATTCACAACTTCATCAAGTGAGTTGCCATCATTCCCTAATACCCTGTGTCTAACCTCACTATTACTTATCTGGTGATCTCAGCAGATGCGAGCAATATTTCTAAGACATCTGTGGTCAAAGACTAGTAGCTTACGGATATCTTCTACTCTTAATGGCCATGTTTCTCAGTCGTCAAGTATAACAGGACGAACTGCCGCGCAGCATACTCGTCGCTTAATCGATAGACGGATATCTCACCTTCGCAATAGGTGACGTAAGTTGGCAAAAGCCAAACGAGCTTTTTGAATTCATACGGAGATTTCGTCAGACACCAACCCATTAGGGCTGATCAGACTTCCAAGATAAATCATAGTATTTAAGCTTTGGACATACCTGATTTCGATATATTTCATGAGTTCCTCCATGAAAGCTTGTGAAATACTTTTAAAAAAATTTTGTTGTGTTCCATTTGTGTAACTTTTATCTTTGTGAGTTATATTAAGTTAGACGGGAATTTAAATGCGCTACGTTATGTAGATAGAATAGACTATGACGATAGTACCTTTATTTAGATGATACTTAGAAAGACATTTATATAATTATTTAGTCATAACAAATGGTAATGAAAAGGTATTTGGGGATCGGTTCTACTAGGACTTATACTTCAAGCATGAAATCATATTTGAATGTTTCGCAGTCTTTGGCACCAATATATTTTCAATGCACTTGGTCGCGTTACTCATTATTAATAAGTAGTGTAAGACATTTGTTATGCGAACATTTGTCAGGTCTTAGTTCTTAATCGTCCTTCATCCTACGTTTTGTTTGTCCTTGAAGCAAAAGTAGCCTTTATCAGTTCGAATATCCTAAGTTTTTCTTGTGACATGTGAACTATATTCATTGAAATATCGGACACATTTCTAACTTGTAAACTTCAGTCCTTTATTCCCTGGTGACTAGAACTAGATTAAAACTTGACTTGTAAGACGTTCACTTCCACAACTTAATGTTAGTTCCAACATTATTCTATTGTAGAATCATATGTAAAACTGCTGTTGCCTTTTATATAAATGTATGGAATTTCTGTTTGTATCTTTACAAAAGAAAATTGCACTTGACCACCAGTTTTATTTATTTATTTGAACATAAATATTGGTACAAATGGGGCACCGAATACATATTCACTACACAAGTCACTTGATTTGTGTGTGGGCTGTGGTACTGCTCGGATGCCTAGACCGGAGCATATGTTTTTCTAAGGGAGGCCACACCTAGAGCCTTCGACCTGAAGGTCTGATCCACAAGGCAGTGGAGCAACGTCAAGAGATGCAGACCCATGGTAGCCAGTGACCAACAATGGGTTCATACGCCATTTGTTTCCTCAGGATCCTGGAGCCCATATGCACTACCGGTTCGGAATCAGGGTTTTCCAACTCCCCTAGGTGGGTCCTCCATATCCACCAACCCGGTTAAAGTGCAGGATATTCGCTTTTTGTCCTCTCGATTTCGTAAACAACACCCTCGCAGCGAGAAGGCGGTGAGCAGGACTTCCCTGGCAGTGGTTGTATACACGTGACCATGTGAGAACATCTAACAAGAGTAGTTCTCACCGACATCAAGTACATGCTTCTTATTTTCATCGTGTTTGCAATCACAGGTTAGTATGAAAGGGAGGTGTTATAGGTTGTAAGTAGATAATTGATGTTATCACACCTAATCCGCTTAATGCTCATGTTCTGTTTCAGCTTTTTCTCCTCCTCACTCCTATTTAACCCATAGTTTTAAATATTTTTTAATCCTTTTTCCTGCATTTCCTTGTTGTACATTGATATTGCTTAGATTTTTCTAAGTCACCTGTTCCGTAGTTTTGTATATAAAGAGCAAGTAAAAATCCTAAATGCTACTCATGCAATCATATTTGTAATTGATTTATGAGTGAATAATCAAACCTACTTTCTGATTACTTAAAGTACCCATTTATCCATAGGAAACAAATTCTGGTAAAATGAGATATAAAAAAAGTTGAGGCTGCTACCGGATCACGACTTATTTCTATTCTGAGCCATTACGATATTTCTTTAAGTTACTGAGTTGCGTTATCTTCACTAACTCAACCAGGGGTTTGTGATAGCTTGTCAGATGCTAGTAATTCACGACTATCTTTTAGACGACGGCTCCGTGTCATAAACGGACCACCTCTCCTATCCACTATTTAAAAAAAGCCTCACCAAGAATCTTCTCTATTCGTAAAAATCTGATTATTAGGTCAACTGTATTTCTCTTTGGAATGTTCCCCTATCTTTCGGAGTATACAGTGGAAATATTAAAGCATAAATAAATAATGGATAGACTTGTAAATTGTAGTCAGACTAACCCAGTCAATTCATGTTCATAATTTGTGACACCTAATTTACGTGGCCCAAATAGAACCATACACTTATTTCCTGAGTGATTAGTTCAGTTTTCATATTACTCTCAACAGTACTGAAAGGGTACCTCTGGTCTAAAACAAACTTTTCCATGTTGCCGGCCTTCATCGACCATATCTTATTGTCGTATGCAGGACATAACATATTATTTCTTCATGTCATGGAATTTTACCAACTGTCGTCTGATAACTGAATTACTTTAGTGTTTATTCAATCCCAAGTTAATATTCTCTAATATCAATTTCGTACGTATTATTGAACTTGACACATTAGATAACGCGAAATTAAAAGTCGTATTAGGTAGAGATACATTTCATACACACGAATTTATCAGACCACATATAAAATATGAGGCGTTTTTAGATAGTGAGTACTGTATGTAGTGTATAGTATGTGATGAATAGGCTGATGTAAAGATCAATTGTGTAGCAAGCATGTAGTATGACTTCGACTAGGTAGCTAACATCAGTCCATCAGCAGATCGGTTGTGTGCCAGAATTCAACTTTGTGTGTACAATTCATGCCCTAAGACATTCATAGGACTTCAAACTTCTGTGTTTACTTCACATCTTTACTGACGTTTCAATAGGTTTTACGTATTCTAAATTCATTAGGTCAATATTCCTTAATTCAAGGTCTTGTAGACTATTCTTTGTAAATTTACCTTTAATTACAATAAATATACTCATTGATTGTCATTTATTTATATGATGGATCATTGTTTGTATCCATGAGACTCTAAGCGTTCAAATATAGATTTTGGCGATCAGTGCATTGTGAGATAATATCTTGAATGTGTTGTGGGGATGCACAAGCGCATGTATTCTAAGATTTCTCCTATTCATACTTGTAGGTTTGTCATTTAATCATCTTTGATGTAGGACCTAGTACGAATGCTTTTTAGTCCGATCTACCGCACGTCATATTAGCACAGAGAAAAATGAAATTAGAAAGATACGAGCCAAATGATAGGAAAAAATGCCAGTTTTAGTTAGTATTTAAGCATGAGAAATGTAATACAGAAGGAATTTATCTCACTCATTTTCACGAGGATTTATTTTTATTATTTCATGCATTTTAACATCCTGGAAATCCTGCTTTGGCCTCCTGGTATTTTGTTAACTATCAATCATAACATTTATTTACCATAATAATAATAATAATAATAATAATAATAATAATAATAATAATAATTGTTGTTGTTGTTATTCAATAGACTGTCCAATTAAAACAGTTGCTGTATGTGCTGGTTCCGGTGGGTCGCTTTTATGCCAAACACCAGCTTCATTTGCTGCCGATTTATTTATCACTGGAGAATTATCTCATCATGATCGTCTTGAGGCTGTTTCTCGTGGTATTTCTATTATTTTAGCTGGGCATTCTGTTACGGAAAGAGGATTTTTCAGGGAAAGATTTATCCCAGACTTTCGTCATCTTTTATCAACTGTACATAATGCTGGTGAAATCCCACACTTGGAATTGTTATTATCCGACGCAGATCATGAACCAGGTTTTGTCGTTTAACAAATCGTTATTATGTTTGTGCAATTTCGTAGTATTCGATGTGTTACAACAGATATTTTTAATGGTTTCACTACTTTTTTCCATTTCCTTCTTAATACTGGATATTATTGGTCTATTACCAACTTGTAAAATAAACCATAACTATCATCCGATTTATTCTCAAACTTCAAATAATTGTTCCTTTTTGGTGGAGTTTTTTTCTCTGAGATGGATGGTTTGGTCGTGGAGCTCTCATCGTTCTTCTGAAGGACATCATCAGCACAAACTTCAAATAGACCTGATTCGATGCACCTATTGATAAGTTCAATAGTAGTTTTCGTTTCAGTGAACTTTATGTTAGACTTCAGGAACTCATTGAGCACCTTCAACGCAATGGGTTGTTCACAACATTTTAATCGTTTAAAGATCCCCGTCATATTAAAAGACTAGTATTTGAACGAAGAATATTCTTGTCGATAAATTCTCTTCAGGTTCTACAATTATATATCCAAATTAATAATCCGATAAATGGCCAGGTTAAGGGCAAAGTACATCGTTAAAAGCATGTGAATTTAGGATTGTGATAAACCCATCTACTGAGATTGTATGGATTGCCAAAGGTGCACAAACTAGGGATCCCATTAAGACCTATTTTAGATATGTATAACTCTCCTTACCATACTATAGCTAAATGGTTGGAAACTGTGTTGAAACCTCTACACGAAAAGCTTGTAAAATATAGTGTTAAGGATGTGCTCCAATTTTTTGATAAAATCAAAAATGCAAATACGTTGGTACTCAAGATGATGTCATTGGATGTAACATCGTTATTCACAAACGTCCCACTCAGAGACTGTAGAATATATAGGTGAACAGCTGATAGAAAATGAAATTGAAACTACTGACCCTATTAATGTCGTGAAAGAGTTATTACTCAAATGCACCATGAATGTGAATTTCAAGTTCAACGGTGAAATATATAGACAAACAGATGGTGTTGCAATGGGTTCACCACTGGGCCCTATACTAGCTGATATTTTTCTAGACAAACTAGGAAATGGTCCACTAAAAAAGATTCAAAACTTCAAATTTTACTTTAGATACATGAATGACACGTTCATTCTCTGTAAAGATAATACGTCGCCGCAAGAGGTTCTTAGGCGATTTAATGAAGTGCATCCAGCCATTCAGTTTACATTTGAAGAAGAAAGTGATGGCCGAATAGCCTTTTTAGACGTTCTCTTGACTAAGAGAGCGTATGTATCGTTAAAAAGGAACTTACACAGAAAAAGTACATGGACTGGGCAGTATACGAATTTCCTGAGCTTTGTACCTCTACAGTACAAACAAAACTTGATCAAAAACCTTAGTTACTGTGTTCTGACTATATGTTCTGCTGATATAGTCTATGCAATGATCCTGAACAGTGGTGGGTAGCGAAAGCAAGAATGATGGAAAAGGCAGCGGCAATAGGTAATAGCAGACAATTGTTCAGACTTATTAGGGAAACCGACTGTTAGCGAAACAATCTCAGAGAAAGATGGACATATTATACATTCTCAATCCAGGAGATTGGATCGATGGGCAGAACACTTCAGGGATCAGTTCAACTGGCCTTCAGCCACACTTCGGTTTCCCACGATCTCCAGTCAACCTGAATGACAAGTTAATGTAGGTCCTCCATCTCCTTACGAAGTTGAAAAAGCTAGCGAAAATCTGAGGCGAGGGAGAGCAGCAGGCCCTGACAGGTTTACTCCTGAGATTTTTAAGGATGGTGGTCCAGTATTAGCAATGAAATTAACTGAGGTCTTAGGTAGAATTTGGGAACTGGACGTAATCCCATCTGACTGGTCTCAATCACTGATTGTGCCAGTCTATAAGAAAGGACAAAAGTCCTCTTGTGACAATCACAGAGGAATCAGTTTGACTAATATAGTGTCTAAAATATTAGCTTCAATAATACTTCGACGCCTAACGAAAGCTCGTGAAGAGCAGACTAGAGAAAACCAGGCTGGTTTTCGACCTGGACGTGGTTGTATAGACCAGGTTCTATGGTAGTGTTTGTCACTGAAAGGAGTACCAAAGAAGTACATTAACCTTATAAAGGCTCTCTACTCGAACACAACTGGTCGAGTGAGAGCTTATGGCGAACTGTCATCAGAATTGATTACCTCAAGTGGTGTTCGTCAGGGCTGTCCACTCTCCCCATCTTGTTCAACTTTGTGGTCGACGTACTTTTAGAGATAACACTCTCCTCATCTAAATTTCCAGGGGTTGAACTTCTACCGGGAGGTTCACTTGTTGACTTGGAATATGCAGATGACATAGTTTTATTTGGTGAAGACGCTGACAAAATGCAGAGTCTTCTGACCACTCTAAGCAATAATGCAAGCATGTTCGGGATGCGATTCTCCCACTCGAAATGCAAAATGTTGCTTCAAGATTGGGTTTCATCGACACCCGAACTAATGATAGGGAGTGAAGTAATTGAGCGTGTCGATCGCTTCACTTATCTTGGAAGTCTCATCAGCCCTTGTGGTTTAGTGTGTGACGAAATCTCAGCACGGATACAGAAGGCTCGACTAGCTTTTGCCAACTTGCGTCATTTATGGCGTAGGCGAGATATCCGTCTGTCAACAAAAGGACGTGTTTACTGCGCAGCAGTTCGTTCCGTCCTACTTTATGGCAGTGAAACATGGCCGGTAAGAGTAGAGGATATCCGTAGGTTACTAGTATTTGATCATAGGTGTCTTCGAAATATTGCTCGTATATCGTGGGACCATCGAGTAAGCAACGCAGTTGTTAGGAAACGGGTACCAGGTAAAGATGGCAAATCAATTGATGACGTAGTGAAACTTCATCAGTTGAGATGGCTTGGACACGTGTTACGTATGCACAATCACTGACTGCCTCGACGTGCGATGTTCAATGGTATAGGAATAGGTTGGAAGAAAGCTAGGGGCGGCCAGATTAAAACATGGCACAAGTCCATGAAGTCACTGACAAGTGGACTGAGTCATGTTGGTAGGTGTAGACTACCTGGTTGCGGACCGCGAGATGATAGCAAGCGATGGTTAGAGACCCTGAATGACATGGCTCAAAATCGTTTGCAATGGTGCAGGTGCATCCACTCTTTGTGTTCTCCCAAATTTTGATCTCCTTATTCCTCCTTGTCTCTCTTTTTTCTCCTCTCAAATTTATTTCACTGTATTATACTCTTTAAGTAACATCTTCAAACACTAATCTTCCCGATTACTGCTTATACTCTTATTACCTCTACCACTACGGGATTTGAATCGACCACTGCATCTCTGTGCTAATGTGGTGTGGCAACTCGAACTGATGTACGTACGTTCGAAGTTCTACGTTGTTACTGACTGACTGTTCTGCTGATAAAGTCGAACAACAGCTTAACACCTTGCATAATACTCTCAGCCAGAATGGCTATCCCAGAAAGTTTTTAATTGAATATATGATCACGAAGGCGAAAGTAGGCGAAATACAAACATTGAAGAAGAAATCCCTGTTCATGTGTCTACAATTCAGAAGGGATGCGGCTAGCGAAATACTAACTCAGAGATTACGCAGGACAATACAAAAGTCTTTTAACGCCTGAGAACTGCGATTAGTATTTCCTACGCGCCTAATGGTTACACCGAAGCTAAAAGATGAATTACCTAGAATGACCACCTCATTTTTTATTTATCAGTTCGACTGCTCCTGTGGAGCGAGTTATATTGGTCGAAGATCTAGGAATTTACATTTTCGTGCTCGTGAACACCTTCCAGCGTGGCTAAACAAAGGTTTGATGAAGAAGGTGAACAGCTCAATATTGGCCCATTTAGTACAAACCGGTCATAATGCCAGTATAAACCAATCTTTTTCAATTATTTATAATGTAAGTAATTTTTGCCAAAACTGGTCAGACTAAAAGTCCTTCGAACGGCTGAAGCAGTAGCCATCTGGATGAAGAAACCAGAGCTACGCGTACAGAAGAAATATATTCAACCAATCCTCCTCCCCTGGCCAATATCAAGGCCAATTAATCAATCGTAATCTTAACTATTGAATTACCTAATTTGACTATGACCTTTCGTAGTCAATTGTAATTGTCCCTGTTATCTTTATTCATAAATCTTCGTATTATTATTATTATTATTATTATTATTATTATTATTATTATTGACAGATAATTCCCATTTTATTATTATTATTATTTTTATTATTACTATTATTATTATTATTATTATTATTATTATTATTATTATTATTATTATTATTATTATTATTATTATTATTATTATTATTATTATTATTATTATTATTATTATTATTATTATTATTATTGGTTAAGCATCATTAATCTCTCCTATTCATGATTCATTCACTTTGCATCCATCTCTCCGTATTACGTCTTACTTATTTGATCGAATTGTAATTGCACTATTATTTCTCTCTCACCCTACTTGACCCATATTCATTCTGATCATGGATCTTAAATCTCACTTAACATATACGCAGATTCAAGTTAACATTCTATATGAGTCATATTAACATTAACAATTTTACTGTATTTTGTTGTCATAATCCTAAATTCACATGCTTTTAACGATGTACTTTGCCCTTAACCTGGCCATTTATCGGATTATTAATTTGGATATATAATTGTAGAACCTGAAGAGAATTTATCGACAAGAATATTCTTCGTTCAAATACTAGTCTTTTAATATGACGGGTATACAGAGATACTTGTCTTATGTATCTGCTCTCCTGTTTCTAAATGCTGAAAACATTAGTTCTGATTTGTGCTTCAATAGCTGTCATAAGACGACGATTTCTTGATCCACTGTGTTATGTGCATTTCCGACATACACAAAATAATATACTTAGTAGATGAAGTAAACGTCACTGATTGTTATGGAAAGTTAGTTAGTCTACAACATATATTCTGTCAAGTTCGTTTCTTGATTATTTGAGTAGTTGGCATTAGCTGTTTTGACAATGTCCGCCAGTTGTGCCCTGGTTTTTAACAGTTTGTCAAATAAAGTCAGTCTGTGACGAAAAATATCTCTAAAGCTAATCATATATAACTAGGTGTTTGTATAAACTGCTTAATTGGCCAAAACGATTTACTGAGCAGTAGTTTTCAATGTATAAATAGGAATCACACTGAAATTATCTTACTTTTGTCTAAAAGATTCAAAATGTGGCTACTGTTAGTGAGAAGATGGGTTTTTATAGAAGCTGAGTCCCTTTCAGGAAAGTTTGAAATCTTTGTTCAAAATTAAAAAAAGCGAATTAATATCTCTTATCTTAACCCAAATCAAAGCATAAAATTGTGTTATTCTCGAATTATGTAGTTTCGTAGGTTGGGTGAAAGCTAGATGTGACATCAGTTCATTTGGACACTAATCATTGGACTGAGCCATACAGGTAGATGCGGACTACTTGGTCGATGTCCGCGTAATTATCACAACCAGTGGTTAGACTTTAGGTGACGCGGCTCAAAGGCGTTCGTAGTGGCGGAGGTGCACTTACTATTTGTCTTCCCTTTGATCGAGATGTTCTAAATTGTCTTGTAAATTTTCTTCATCCGACTAATCCATATTCCCTCAAATTCTATCGGTTATGCCTAGTTTTTTCTATTACCACTAAACCTGTTACTACCTACACTATGGGATTCGTTCTGACAGTTTCATCTCTTTGTGATAACTTGACATGATATACATATGCGCCAGGTTTTACGCTGTGCATGACTGACTCACTGAGTTATTTTAGTTGCAGATTTGTGATCAACTTTATTGACGATAGCTTCAGGTCAAATTTAGGAAAAAGTGACCATTTATGGGTACAGATAGTGCTAATGACTAAATGTACACTGAAGAACTAATATTTTAAAATTATTTCAATATCTCTCATTTTTAATTAATCGACGGTATGAGTAACAGAATTCCAATAAATGTTCTTTTGGCTAATATACAAAATCTGTGTGAAAATCATCCAATATGTAAACATAATAAGTGATATACACTTAACCAAATAACGGAATAGTTCATATATATATTAGCATACACTTGATATTTTGCCAAAGTATTTGTTTAAGACTTTTCAAGGGATTAGACGTTTTCATTGAAATATATATTAACTTAGATTATCGATTCTTCTTATTTCGTGTCATTAAATGCGAACAAGGTTGTAATCATATGACAGTAAGTACTTTTAATGCAATACTCTTATATAGTAAAACGATCGATCAATCTATGAACTTATGCCTCAGGCATTTGACAAATATATATGTTGTGAAAATCTTGTCTAATTAGACATGTGATTGTGTTAAGATTAAACTGATGTTAGAAAAAGATGATAGCTGAACCCCAAAGCACTACAATAATACAGTAATTCGTTTATCAGGATATGTGGGATTTATACTAATTTGTAATTAAACGTACTAGTTGATATTGCTGGAATCGACCATAATAAATTAGATAAATCCATTGTTTAACCTTAGTTTTATTTGTTTGTGTCGTTTCGTATCTGTAATAGCATCCTTGTTCTTATATTTACACCAATTTTATTCTTTCACCGCAAACTGTTAGAGATTTTATCTTGGTATGCGTTTATGTTGTAATCTCGTATATGTCTGTTTGCGCTTAAGAAGTTTCATATTTCTTCTGTAGAAAATAGTTGTTTCAAATATTTTAACGTGTTTTACATCATTTATAATTGTAAGCTTTTTTACATATTTTTGTTTTTGACCGAAATGTTCTTTCTCATAAAACTATTTCGAAAAAAACACTTTTCCTTACTCAGTGTACATTTACTTAATGTTTTCAATTTCTTTGACGTTTCACAATTAAGAAAGTTCTTATCCCAAAAAGGAGTCGGAAAACTGTTCAGTGTATTATCACAACGAGAAATATTGTGTATATTTTATAGTCCATCGCGTGACTTGAAGTAAATGGTATGGCTGAGTGAAGACTTTTCACAAAACTGGATTAGTCGATATGAAAGTTCTCCTCACAGTAAACAGATTTTGTATAAAAAGTAAACGGTCGTCGAACTTTAATTCCACAAATCATTCACCAAAGAATATCTTTGAGATCCAAAAATCAGGCCCGTTTATACCCCCTCCCATGCACACACATGATATACAGCGTCACTCCGTATCTTTTATTTGTGCATGTATTTAACACGCTTTTTGAAAAATGGGTGAATTTCATAATCGATGTGACAAAGTATTACTCTGAAACTGTTCAGGTAAGCCTCGTACTAGCTATTTGTAATTAACATATAACATATTGGTCGTTTGTAAATTTAGTCGATAGCTCTGTGTAATCTCTACACTATATTTCTACTTTTTCTCTGTATTATTATATTCTATACTTGATGGCTCAAATATTCATATACATGTTTGTGCATCAATCTATTACCCTGTAACTCTTGACCCTTTAAAATCGAAATGTTTCAGAATTTAGCCAATAATTTAATAATTAAGCTTCTGTAATTTAAACCAATTAATTTTATTACTATACATTGCATATCTATGATTTATTGAACATAACAATTCATGAAGTTGTTTTTAGGCTAGTGCTGTTTCAATTTAATCGACATCTAACTTTCAGTACAATAACCATTAGAAATTAGAATTACGGACAAGGAAGCTTTTAAGTTTTTCTGACTAGTGATATTTATGTACTTTGATTATAAAATTCCTGTAAACGTTAATCAAGTTGTTTGTAATTTGTATCCGTAAAAGCTTTCTAAATATCCTATTCCTTATGTACTATGCTACATCAAGTTAATAAATCTTTATAAAACTATCTTTCATGGTTTAAAGAATGAGAAAAGTCAGTTAGAACCTCTATGTTTGCTTATTTAATAAACAGGATATTAACCTGATTCGAGTGATTTATCCAATTTATTTCAGTTTCCGACATAGTTTGCATCATTGAGTCAGTTATACTCATCTTGGGACCTGAGAGATATGTGTATTGGCTCAAGTTGCTACACCACATTAGCACGGTGAAATGAAGTTATCAAGATAAGTCTCATATTACTAAAAGTAGTCGCAGTATCAGTGTTCGAAGCAAAGCCTGGGTATTGATAATATACTTTGGAAATAAAAAGTGAATTCGCAGACAAAATATAAGATAGTTTTAAAACTTAAGACCAAAGGGAAGACAAAGAGTAGGTACACTTAAGCCATTTGGATTGATCTCGAGTCATACCAATCGTCATCTCCGAAAATTCTTTACAGTAATCTCATGGAAGCCGATCAAATGGTCTGGACCTAAATAAACAGCCCAGTTCATCAGTTAAAAACTGCATGGGCTAGTGCAACGTTTTGTTTTGGATGCCCCTTGATTTCTTACAACCAAATACACCAGATAACATCATTCATCAAGGTAGTTGGTGGTTGGACACAAGTAATACATGTCTCAACCATCTCACTTGATGAAGATTCATGACCTCATCAGCCGACTCGCTATCTCTGCGTAGTGTTCTATTTCCAACCTCAAAATTGGTCGATCAAAGGCCTCAGTCTGCGCTAGCAGTGCTTCAAAAGCATCTATAGTAGGATACCAGTAACCTACAAATATTCTTTATTTTCAAAGGCCACGGTTCACAACATTGAAGTTGTTCAGAGCAGACTGCTATGCAATTAATCCATCCTTTGCTTTCAGGCGGATATCTCATCCTCTCCATAGGTGACTCAAGTTAGCTAAATCCAACTGAGTTTTTTGAATCTGCACGGGGATTTCATCAAACCGCCAGGGCTAATGAGACTTCAGAGATAAGTGAATTCGTCAATATGCTTCACTAACCCAGTTCTTATTATTAGTTCAAGTCCTGAAGTAACACTGCATTTAAACAGCGAATCACATCATAAACATGGTTAGGTTGTTCTCATGAAACTACACTTTGTCAACGTATTCACCAAACATGACTATGTCATCTGTACATTCCATGTAAACAAGTGAATCTTCTAGTCGGAAATCCATTCTTCAAAAGTTGGACGTATACATTTACTACATACAATCAAAGTCAATAGGATCTATCCTACCAAACTAATTCTTCGTATTCGTTACTTCGATCATCGATATGGCTTAACATTTTATGTAATGGACCAAAATAATTCTTAGTTGTCAATGATATTCTAACTAACATGATTCAACAGTATAAACCGTGAAAATCTAGAAATCTCCGCAAAACCCCCTCATTAATTCCGAATTTTTAGATGCTAATCATGTATATATATATAACCAGTTAGAAGCAATTAGTTTGAAGGTGATTAATTTTCACTTATTTTTATTTATCACTTTTACAGCATAATTAATTGGTCAACATTTTGCCTTGTACTACTATCCCATTGAAAATTATTATCTCTATGATAAATGATTTATTCGTTTAAATTAATATATGTGTCTAATTGTAAACATCAGCCAATTTAAAAACGTTAACACCATTATTTTTTTTGTTGGGTCATTCATTGTTTATCATTCAATAAAATATTGTTGCTCTCTCTTTCTCTCACTACTTTACAAAACTAATCACTAATCCTTAGAAGATAATAAGATATGACTCAAATCTTATTGGTTCAAGATGTTCTGAAGGAATAGACACTCGATGTATTAAACTTAAGAAGTAGTAGTTACTCAACCTATTTGATAATGATCTATTATTAATTTATGCATTACTATCATCATTACCGAACACAATGGATAAACTCATACACATACATTCTAATTTGTTAGTTGTGTCTGTCTGTTTATCCATCTATCTATCTATCTATCTATCTATTTACTTATTCATCCATTCATCATTAGATCCACGTGCCCGTTTACCTTATATTAAATCAAAAGAAGAAAAAAAGATAACAATTTTAAATAACTTCAGTGAAGAAGTCGAAGTGTTCAATTGGAATTAAATCATGAGTAGTCATCAGGATAGTGCAAAAATCAAATCAACTGATATGCCAGAATCTATGCAATGTATAGCTGTTGATTGTTGTGCAGCAGCATGTGAACGTTTTACAGATGATAGAGATATAGCTAAATATATTAAACAAGAATTTGATAAACGTTATGGTGGAACATGGCAATGTGTAGTTGGAAAACGTTTTGGTTGGTAAGATTAGATATATGATTATGTTTACTTTAGTTGGGTTAATACACATTTATCAATGTGAATGGTAGTATTGTTTATATAATTGAATTGTGTTTGTGTATGTGACGAATTGTTTCCATTAATATTATGTAAGCAATAAGTAAAAAATCCTTAAGTAGTAAGATATGTATTTCACTTTAGTTGAAGCATCTCTGTTAGTTCTTATCATTTATTATTTCAGGGATTCAGATTTAAAAATTACATGTTAAGTAGTGAGTACATTAGATTTTAAAGATCTCAAAAACTGGTAATCGGTTTTCCATATCATAGGTATATAGGTTAAATAGAAAAACTTCTAAATGTAATGTAATACAAGATAAAGTATTATAACTTTACAAAGAGAAGTAAGATGGATTTTTGAACATGATACCTAACGAGAACGGTACTTATAATAAAAAAGCAATCGGATTTTGATAATCAATTTTAAGTGATATTTTTTATAGCATGAAAGGAATTACATTTGTTTAAAACCTTGGTTCTCATCCATTCCTGGATCTCAGTCTAAGATTATGGAACGGAACTTTTTACATCCTATTAGACTGTTTATAGGACTAGGTCATACAAGTTAATTACTTATTATCAAGTAATTTACTTCTAATTGAATTACTTTGATGAGTTTTTCAGTGTATCTATCAGTCACTAAATCCCTATTGCTATAGTACAGTAAGTTTTCACATTAGAAACTCCTGCCTTCCTAAAAATTAGATACCAATCAGTAACATTGAATAGTGACTTACGGTGCAATCTACAACTCGTGTTTCGTCGTATTTAAGACTTAATTATGACTTAGTGGCAATATTGGGTCAATCCAAGTAGGATATACACATCCCAAAAGAGAATGGTCAATTCCAACAACACGTAAATTCAAACTCCTGCTTTGGTTATTTTCTAAAAATCAATTATCATCCAAAGTAATTTGATGGCTTGTGGTTTACTCATTATTATTATGCTATAATAATGTTTCTCACCAAATGTACAAAGCATTGGGTACTTTTCAGTAAACTACGAAAAAATTGGTCTGAATTGATCAAAATAGAAATAATAACGTATAGAAAAATATCATCCACGTTGGTACACTTAACATTAATGCAATGAGACTATATCCTCTACGAAGTAACAATGATTCCATAGGTGGTAGAAGAGAACCCCACATAGGAATCTGAACGAAATAATCAACAAATTAGAAATGAAAAACAAAAAGCAATCCCTTAATAAGTATAAACAATTGTCAATAGTCAGCTGGTTTTGGTAAATTTGCTTCCTATGGTTTGAATACCTTAATTGTAGAGGCTTCATTATTTTTCTTCCTGAGCCACAAATCTTTGCCCTCCCATCTAAACCAAATATGATGATAATATTCTCGAAATTTTCATCCCGAACTGACATTATTCAATGAGACATGGATTAATGAAAGATACTGTACAGTCGTTTTTGTTTAAGATAGGGATTTTTTGCAATGCAAATTTATAACATCACTGGAGACTGAACTTAAAGTTTTCAGGATTTTATGCGTGTACATCAGTCTATCGATCCATATTTATAACTTTAGGTAATTCATAATTTAGCACAGTTTTTTTAAACTTCTACTTAATCACATTGGTATAATTATAATCAATAATTATTGACTCATGAGGTTACGGTTCTCTGTTGGTCGATTGTGTATTCCTAAGAATTCTCAGTTTTATTCATTTTCATAATTCCATTAGAGTGAATTATTCACTGAATCCAGCTACCTCGATATTTTTATTTTTATTTATTCTTTGCAATCGTAAAAGTAATTATTGTGACCGGATATGGATGTATTTATTTATAATTGACTTTATCAAATATGAATTGTAGTACTATATAAGTGAGGATATCTGTTTCGCGCATCTATGTGTGTTTGTGTGTATCTGTATATACAGTGACTTGTGTAAAGGTTTACATTACCTGCATATCTTTATATTTATCTAAGTGCACTACAAGAGGCTAGATTTAAAGGGAGGCATGCTGTACTGATCAGTTATTATTCTGTTATGAAGTTAAATAAATGAATTTTTAATGTATGTAAGATCGTGCGTTTCTAGCGGAGTATCATAGTTAATCCTATATTTTCATTTATTTATAACGAGCATACGTCGCTTTCTAGAAATTCTAATTTCTACTCATCTGGTCATGACACATGTATCATAATTTCATTACTATTAACAGTCTGCCCAATGCTCGATTTATTCCAAATTAAGTCAACGGTACTTATAAGCAAAGTATATGTTTGTGACTGGTGAATGAATACAAATGATTTTAGAATAAACAATAATTTCTTTAGTCAGTGAACTTCATTGTTGAATAGTGAATATTCTCCATTTGCTTGATGTGGATGTCCAAAATTGGTGAATAATATCCTCAACAAACATACTGAAAATAGTCTGGACAATTGTAGCCAATGTATCGAAATAATCCTCTCGTCACTTGTCTGAATAACCTTCAAATATCTTGCAAATCTCATCTGAAACTTTAAATAAATTTGTTTTTTTTCTAGGATTTTAATCTTATGTTAAATATGTTACAGTTTAGATATTGGAAACGAAATTTTCCAATACTGGCTGATTATTACATATAATATCGTTTAGTTCCTCATGTTTTTTAAATACCTAGAACCAACTATATTTTATCCTATGGATAAACCATTTTCAAAAACTGACAGATTGGAAGCTTGCATTCCATAGTGTTCGACCGACAATGAAGTCTTAACAATATCAAGGTGCCGATTAGTGCAAAGATCAATATATGTGTTAATTTAAATGAGAGTGGTTTGAAGTAAATGTTTATATTATCGAGTCTCATAGCCCCATCAATTATTTTCTCTTACAGATGGTTTTGTATAAATGCATAGTTCACAATGAAAAATTTAACAATGATTAGACAGTCAGTCAATAAGTAAAAAAGGAAAAATAATTTAAACAATTCTCTACAACAAATATGTCAAAAAAGTGTTAAGAAATCAATAGGGGATAGAAAAACGATGATCTTTTGCCTGTAAAAACCTGGTCTTCTAAGAATAAATAGGGTTTTTCAGACGGCGAGCTTAACCATATCAAGGTATCAATCGTCATATATATTATTATGGAAGTATCCGATTTTCGGAAAAAAATTATTTCTTTGGTACAGTGCATTGCACTTCATAGACATAATAACATTGTCTGGTAATTCTATATTTATATACACATTTATTCTTATTCAACACTTTTGAGTACCTAACTTCTTAAATGTGAAGAGAAAAAGGCAGCATTAAATAGGTTTATAAATGGAAAGTATTCATTTTGTCATAAAACTAGAAAGTGAAAAGATCATTTCATCGGTGATTTCATTTTCAAAAGGTCACAATCAATAAAACGTACTCAACTCGTTCACAGTGATGGTCTACAGTATGTTTATTTATTCATCGCATTTAATAACAAGGAAGCATAAAACCGGACAAAAAATCAAATATTATAATTCTCATTAAAAACGCTTAAAATGGGGTTGCTATAGAGATTGGATATATTAACCATAGAAGTCCTAGTAACGAGATGAAGATTAATAGTAACAAAAGTTGATAAGATAGGTTTAAAAAAAAGAATACTCAGAAAATCCAAAAATATTCAGGATTAGATTGGTTTGAGGTGTGAGTTCCTTTTTGTAGAATAAAAAATAGGTGGTAATTTGAAAAGGGAAAAAATCTACAGAAGTACTTAACTGTACAGACTTTTGTGTGTGCGTTTGTGAGAGGAGCTTCAGCACTACAAAAAAAGTGAAAGCGGACGACTTAGAGAATGGGAGTACCTTAAAGAAATTTCTAAACTGAACTATTCATTTCTGCTATAAAACTTCGAAAGAAATTATTGATTTATAAAAATTAACAGTTTTCTGTAAAGCGATGCAAAATAAATAGGATAAATGAAACGAGCCTTTAGCTACTACACATCATTTTCATTTCACTTCGATCCTATGAAACATTTTACCTGCCCGAACATCTCAGTAACAATTTAATTTGATTTCAAAAAATCCAGAACGACAATAATTGGAGATATTAATATTCATACTTAAAATAGCTTGGATAAAAACCACTGTGATAAAATTTAAAACTGGCTGGTTGTTCTTTGTGTAATCTAGTAAACTGTATATTATTTACTATATTTAACTATATTTAAATCAATCATGAACCACTGAATTAGGCAGAGATGGATGGTGGCTAGCAATGGAATCTAGGACGCATGTTTCGTCCTATTTGGTATGCATCAGCTGGCAAATTAAGGAGATTAATATGATTGAAGTGGTCTGTATTTCTAATGGAATTATTTTTAAATTCATGAAAACACATTGTTGCTTTTTGAATAATTTTCAATTTATAATGAACTTCAAATTAAATAGATCCGTAATTAAGTAATGGAATACTCAAAATGAGATAACGGCAATATTTCTAGCTCAGGATAAGGATTTGAATATGTTATCTGAGCTACATAGTTTGCTAGTAAAGCTTTCATTGTCTTTCACGGCAACAATATCATCACACAGTCAGTCAGTTAGTAACGATGTAGAACTTCGTACGTACGTACATCAGTTCGAGTTGCCACACCACATTAGCACACAGATGTAGTGGTCGATTCAAATCCCATAGTGGTAGAGGTAATAAGAGTATAAGCAGTAATCGGGAAGATTAGTGTTTGAAGATGTTACTTAAAGAGTATAATACAGTGAAATAAATTTGGGTGTATACTGATAATATTGTCGATAAAGACGATGAAAGCTTTACTAGTAAACTAACCAGCTTAGCGAATAAAACGCATTGAATGTTTTAGGCAATAGGTTTCCGTGTATTTCATAACTATCGGGCTTTTAGTCTCTCCAAATTAAATTATAATTCTGAGGATTTTTGATGCTTCCTTACATTTGGATATTGATACTCTTATTAGAACACTAAATACTGATGCCAGTTTCCATTTTAGCTTTTCAATGAAATTCCTGCATACCGAAGTATTATCACCGTTATCATAATCGATTTAATCTATGTTTTATATCTACGTTCTTTACAATGTGAATCTGCTTTGATAATTATACATATGATTGTCTCTTATTAACATGTAAGAAAAAATTTGTTAACATCAAAATTAAAGATACTCCTGACTCGTAGTGAGCAAATTAGCTGTAGTTCTTTTAGAAGAAAATGCTCTATAATTACGACAATACCATTCTCTTGTAATTTCTTTGTGCTATTGACTCAGAATATTCGATCGATATTGGACACCACATATTCACATCGGAATCTAATAAATTTATTACTACTGAATATTGCTACCTAATATCAATCCATTTAGTGATGTAATTTAATTCTTTGTTATTAAGTTATTCCGGCTGTAAATACTTCCTGGCATGAGCGAATCATTAGTATGAACTGGCTGTTTTTTAGTGGCCAGTTGATCTGACTGCAGATAGATCGAATGCTGATGTTAACGAAACATAAATGCTGCCAATCGTCGTATATAATTGCTGACTTAATTCGTATTAAAGAATAACGGAATAAAATAAGCCAAATGCGAGAACGAATTTTGGATACGTCTATTTCATACACCCGTTGATCCAGACAGACGATTAGGGAAACGAATTAGAGAAGCTGACCGGATAAGACAAACATGCCAACTCCTTTTGATCAAGTGTGACTCAATACTTATAGCTGGACAAAGATAAGCCTAAGATATGTGATGAATAGGGTAAGCGGTGCACATACATACGCTCATATTAATACAGTCAAGGCTGTAAGCGAATAATTAACATGGTCAAAATGTGACTCGAGAAGAATAGACTAATTGGTCTCTACGAAGCTTGAATAACCCATGTGAGCTTGACATAGTACCAGACGCTACTATTTCCTCTACTCTTTACTGCCAATTAAAGGTGACACGAAAAATCAGGAAACTGCACCAATATAGATTTCCAGGTACAACTTAGACCACTTTTAAAACACATGTTCAATTGAAGAATAATAAGTAAGAACTTCCGTTTAAATTTGATCGAATAGTTTCACAGTAATTGAGCGCCGAGTTAGTGAGAAACATTAAAGAAGAAGAATGTATTTGTAAAATCCCAGCGACTGAATTTTGAAGTAAATCCAAGGAAATTCATTCGCTGAGATTTTACAAATACATTCTTTCTCTTTAATGTCTCACATTTTCAATTGCTTGACTTTATCATCATCATATTATTTGATTTCTTTTTGTTTCTCTCTCTTTTCTTTTGTGTTTTAGTTACGTTTCACATACAGAAAACTGTTTTATTTATTTTCATCTGTACTTAAATGCAGTACTATTATTCCAAGCAATTCCATAAGAACCTCAACTTCAATAATAAGAACAATGATAATCCAGCTGAAACCAGAAAATATCCAATTTATGATTTTATTCTACAATTAGATGTTTGTCTGCAGACAATTAATAACTATTCGATTGTTAATGTGTCAAACAAAATTCTGATTTAATCACAATTACAGTTTACTTGTTTTTCTGAATTGTTGACGCCCATTTTAGTTTTATAAATTACTTTTATAGTGTATAAAGACTTGTAGCCACTGACACGTCATCGCATATACACAAGTGCATACTTCTAAATGGACAGTTTGTTGTCTCATTATCGTCATTTGACTTGTAAATCCACTTTCATTTTTTTAGAAACTCACTTTAGTCTTGGGAGGTTAGCCTTTAATGTTCTTCTACTTATAAAAAGCGGTCGGTAATATCTAATAGATGACCCCATATATAAATGATTACGTAATCACGTCTGACACTTATTATCCAATGTTTTCTTTTTTTCCTATTACTTCTATTTATCAATCAATAATTAATTTGTCCACTAAGACGATTTCTTCAAGTTGTACTAGTGTCTCAGTACAATTTTTTCGCTGTTTCCTTACTGATTCATCTCTTTTGTTTTTACCTCTATTGGGATCAGTAATGAAAAAATGTCTAAATATACATATATGCCGTGAAAAAAAATATATGGATACATTCTCATTGATTGTGATATGTTTCCTTCTCATTTTACATTCATAAAAATCTCACTTGATAACTGAACTATTGTGTCTTGTATTTAGTTTCACCTGTTATATCGTTTGCTATTGGGTTAAATAAGTTGACTTAGTGTATTCTAATCACCTGTGAACTATTGTATTATTTATGAGATAACTGTTTTATTACAATCGAACTGTGATAATTGACATGTACTAAAATGTTATTTCGACCACCTAAAGATTTGTAGAGCACAGATTTGAATACTGTGAACATTGACTTTCTTGCTCGGATTATTTATAGGTTCACAATAGATTCAAGACGGTTGAGTATTTGGAGATAAGAAAGTGCTCACCTGCTAGTTCGAAATATTATCAGTATTTAAAAGCGATCATATACCTCTTACAACCATGTGGTTTTAAACTATGATGAGAGATCAAAACTATTTTCTCTAGTTGTAGATGATCATGATCGATTTGTTATAGCTCAGCACATACATCACCAAGATGTCCACGTAAAAAGAAATAAATTTTCCTGGCTGACACCTTTCATTGCTGTTATATATGTGGAAAATGTACTACCTAAACAATTTTTAAATTAAACACTATCTATGTAAAGCCGGTCATGCCTGTAAACCAGCATGAATTCTGTAATTATTATTTTCAGAATATATATTATTATAATACTATAAACCACAACAAAATTTAACCACTTATCATTATCAGGTAGACAAATAATTAGGAAATCTTCAATACTACTTTTGAAAATAAAAGGTGATAATGTAAGTAGTTGCAATATTAATTATTCTAATCAGTATACAAATATAAACAAAAGAATATAAAGAGTAATCATTAAAATTTAGTAATGTTAGTGGCAGACTAGAGATTAGAATAATTTAGTGAGTATTCCTAATCATGATTTCTGCATGATAATCCAAGTAGAATTACAAAATGGACGAAGTGAAGCTTAAATCATCAATCGGTGTTTTGTTTTACAGATGTTTTCTGTATGAGTCAAGAGATTCAAATGCTAACGAAATTACAATTATATAGAGAGAAAAGCGATTAAAATAGACATTCAAACAATAACCGAATGATTTCTGAATGGAATCATTCAAATGTATTGCTGACGGAATTTGTGGAAAAATTCTAATAGTATACTTCTGTTTGAGATTTGTACTGGTTTTGTCTAGAAAGGCAATGAAAACTTAATAATTAAACTACCAGGTTCGTAGAACACACCATCATAAAGTTAAACTATCGTATCAACAAGTATGTATCAGTTGCATGGTTTCAATAATTCTATTGGATAGTGGATTCCATTTGAGGACAGACTCCTATTTATCAGTTTATCATTTTATGACTGTATTTTCATGTTAATTGATAAATGGATACAAAGTTGTATTTAGTTAACAGATCAGATATTGTCTCATGTTATTCTTATTTCTTGATAAGGTATAAGGTACTGAATTTATAGAGTAATCATATTCAATACATATTTGTGTTGTTTTATGGGAACACTTTTGCCATTAAAATAGTCAGTTCACAGACAGCTCAAACATTAAAAATGATTGTTTTTAAACTCTAATTAATGATATGATTCAATGCACAATCGTTTGTATTACCCACACAAGTGAGTGATTAACTGAACTCAGTAAATAAATAAATATTGTGATGGCATTTGAAGCAAATGATATTGATTTGGCGTCATAGAGTAAACATCAAATCCCATGTATTCTCATTTAACAGAAGACGAAACACTCGCCCTGGATTCTATCTATTCTATATATAATTAATTATATTATCTTTGTATCTTTATTTAAAGTCAACAAGTGAATTAAAAGTACACACATATAAGTATTTGCTTATTGATCTATATAGTCATTGAAAACGTTTTGTACTTCTATATTATTGAATGAAGTTTTATTAAATCTAAATTGATTTTGTATTATTTCACATATTTTAATGAAATGAAATGATAAGAAAAAAAAAGGAATTTTTTCTCTTTGAAATCACGCGAGGGTACACTTGGATTCAACTGATTAAGATCAATTAAAATTCAATAATAGATCGATTTGAGTCTATTTATTTATTATTCGTTATTATGACAATAATAAATAGCCTGACTGTAAACAAACAAACAACTTTGTTCATTGTTATTTCGATCGTTTAAAGATCCTGATCGTAGTTAAGAGACTAATATATTGAATGAAGAATATTCTTTTCTAAAAATTCTCTTCAGGTTCTACAATTAAATGATCCAAATTAATAATCCGAAAAATTGACAGGTTAAGAGTAAAGTACATCGTTTAAAGCTATAGCATGTGAATTAATCATTACCAAACAAAATAGAATAAAATTGTCATTAGATGGTGGTTGGAGGTAGACGACAGGAAACCCTGGACCCGGGTTTCGTGCTACTTGGCACTCGTCAGCAAGGTGTACCTGTCGACTACCTCCAACCACCATCTAATCTCAATATAGAGTGCCCGAAGTGTCGAGTCACCTAGACTGGTGGCCACATTGTAACATGATTGATAGCATTCGATCTGCACTAATAAGGATTAGACACGCATGACATTGATCGCCACCCAGTGACCAATCAATTGTGAGAATAAAATTGTTAATATTGATATGACTTGTATAGAATGTTAACTTGGATTAGCTAATATGTTAAGTGAAAGTTTAAGATCCATAATCAGAATTGTTATGTCGTTTAATTTTATCACTGAAATTTTAATTCAAGTCTCGTAACAACTAAACTATGTCTCGAGATTTCTCTTGTCTTTAAACCACAAATTAGTAGGCCGATATAATATCAAATGATTGTACATTAGAAAAAAATAAACAAAAACAAAACTTTATCCGAAGTGGAGCAAATCATGAAGATTTAGAATATCACACAGATACCCATCCAAATATTGGAAAACAAAGAGAAAAGAATAGATGCAGGTACATCCAGCCGATAAGGACGAAACGCACGTCCTAGATTCCACTGCTAGCCACTATCCATCTTTGAAAATAATAGTTCTTTAAACTTGTAAAAGTCTATTAAGATCTCTGAATAAAGTAACGAATGACACAATAAAGAATTTAAAACTAACAAGTTTCAACAGTGTTCATTTATTGGAAGAAGAAGAAGAAGAAGAAGAAGAAGAAGAAGAAGAAGAAGAAGTAATCTTCTAAATTTATGATGTAATCAACTGTGTTCAATAAGACTTTTATATTGATCGATTTAAATTTATTTGGAAATTCTTATTTATAAAATGTTTCATAGGTGAAGAAAAACTGGCATTGAATGATATGAACTTCTGTCATTGAAGAATTTCAGGTTTATAGTTAATTATGGAATCCATTATGTAGCAGATAAATTACTAATTAATAATGCAAAAAATCTCTTGCAAATAATTTTAAAAAAACTTTATACTCATTAGAACCCAGAATTTGGTCACTTTAATCTCGATTCATGTAAAGACAGTAACAAACTATGTTAAAAATTAAAATCGATTTCGGCGAGATTATAATTTATGGACGAACCAATCAGATTTAAGATAACGGACCTTGCATTTTTGCGGGAAATTCATTCACTCATTTAGTTAAATACCATTTCGGCACTATAGATGATATCAGTACGTGATGGAAAATTTGAATTTAATTCCTAATTCTAACCATCAACTCTAAATCCTAGTTGTCATTTTTCACCAAAATCTATAACACTGATTTAACCCAATTAATTAGGTGGACATTCCAAGGTCATTGTAAAGTTGCTCAAATATCGTCCATAAATTATAGTATTGCCAGTGCTTAAATATGTTTCACACTATGTTAACGAAAAAATGAAAAGAATGAAAACTTGACTATTTGAACCCGGTAACTCAGTGAATAATATAATGGGAGTTTGAAGTGAAAGACATTGAGTTCCATCCTCCATGAAAACAGATACAGTTAGATAGTGGTTTATTCAGTTGATGGGTCCCAAGTAGGACCAAACTCATATCTTGAGTTCTACTGCAAGCCACATATAAAATATGTCTGAAAGACACTTTATAGGTTATTTTGAACATAAAAAAAGCCACCGTTAACTCGCATTATTTGATTTTTACTGTGATTATTGTTTATACTGTTACGTTCAAAAAATG